CCAGAGCAGCTGGAAACGGGTATTTACCTGAGGGCAGCGGAGAGGAGAGGACACCCGGCATGTCTTATCGCTCTCTCTGTGTTGTCTTGTGTGATTGGCTGGTTTCGGGTCAGTGCCATGTCAAGAAGGGACTGAAAGAAAGTGATTAAAAACAGATCCTTTACATTTAAATCCCAGGTACTGACGGGGCTGGAAGTATGCATGCCTGTTTCTCAAACTTGAGTGTGTTTTTGTTTTGTGCACTCACTCACTCTGAGTTCAGCTTTAGTTAACTTGGTCCACACACACCTGTGGCCGATGCAGCAGAGGGGAGTTTCTCTGCGGGATTATCACATCCTCAGTTCCATGTGGCTACTCGAGATGGATTGCCACTTAGCCTCAGCACAGGAGTGTAAAAATGTGAGTCTTGGAAAACTTCAGACTCGTGACTTTCTGTGATTTACACCATGAGTCACAAGTAGACTTCCTGTCTCAGACCTGTTCATTTTTAACAATACGTATGGAAAATGATGCTGACTGTTTACTGCTATGTTTGGATGATACGTTTCAGTTGTTCTGAGTTCATGATCATTTACATCTACTGTTGTAGCTCTTCCCTCAGTGAAACCCATCAGGCCCGGAGCTAAACCCACCATCTTCCAAATGTTGTCGCCACTATCTTCATCTTTATAACCCCCCCGTACTAAAATCAGCTCAAATCTCTCGCCCCTTCAAAGGCCCAAGCAATGCTTGACAATAAAACCCGCGCCGCACAGTCGTCACCTGGCTCTTTCCAAGGACTTTTCTGCCGTTTTCGTTTAGTCTGCCCCCCGGCTGACCCCGAGCGTTGACCTGTTTAGACCTACGTATGTGGTTCCCCAGGTTGGGCTGCTCTTTCCCAGGCATCTGTTTTCTAGATAAGAGCTGTGACTGCGAGGGCTGATTCATTGCTCTGTCGCTGACACGGCGTTTTGGGCCGTCGACATCCCAGCTCTCCCAGTGTCCAGGTCTCCCATGGCCCAGTTTTTATAGCATGACAATCCAGATTTAGTGACAAATCAAGCAGCATGCTGAGGAGAGAGAAAAAAAAAAAAAGGGCTTTTCTGTTTGTTACATTAACAGATCGCCTTTCAAAGGCAGAAACAGCCGAGCGTTAAAATGTTCCGTGTCCCTACCTACACTGTGACCCTGGCGGTCATGAATGATGACAGGTTGGGACAGGAACCAAACCCCCCCCCCCCCCTCTCTCTAGTGACTATAATGTGAATTGCTGCTAAAGTAGCCTCAACCTTGGCACCAAACTTCATCCGCTGAAATCTCTCTGTTGCCACTTTTTCATAACAGCCACCCTTTCTTTACAGGAGAGTGGCCATCTCCCACAGTAAGAGGATTATTATTCTTTCTTTCTCACAGTACGTTGCAGGGCTCCCTGTCCTCTCCTCTCCTCTCCTCTCTCCTCCTCTGTTCTCCCTCTCTTCTGTGTTGGCTACTTGTCCAGCAGGACCGCGCAGTTTCAAACTCTAATTACAGGTCAATTAAAGCCTTTGTGGCGCAGCTCTCCTTCTGCCAGCGCTGCGGCAGGCTTACGGGACTCGACGGAGTGAGAGTGAATGAGATATCATTTCATGTGGAGATCAGCCGAGAGAAGGTCTTGAAAGAGGGAATTTTGGGGGGGGGCGGCGCTCCCTTCTCTTTCTCTCAATGGGCGAGAGTCCCTCCATCCTCGCCAACCATCTTAAAGAAGGGGCCTCTGGGATAGAGGCCAGAGGATTATGGGAATATTCATGACCAGATAAAGGGGTGAGCGGTTGAATGACTGTTTTGGGGCTCATCTCTTAGGTAAACAGGAGCCTAAATGGAGTTTTAGATCGCTACTCCCACTGCTCTGCGAGGAGCCGGCAATGGTGACTCTGTCCACTTTTTTTTTTTTTTGTTGCATTTCCACAGGACGGAGAAAAGAAAGCCTTGTTGTGGCCTTTTCTTCCTCTTGCTGCTGTCTTTTTGTTGCAAACAGATGGTGTGGGGGAAATAAATATCTGTTTCTCACAGTTTTTATCCTCAGAATATTGGCTTTTTTGAAAGACGCCATTCATATTCACCAGTGGCCTCCTGGGCTCCTGAAAGCTGCTGAGGGCTCATTTTAAAGTCATTAAGCATCCTGTGTAAGGGAGTCGTTGATGGGTTTAGTTAGGTCTTCTCTCCAAAATGCCATAATGTAATATATATTAAAATAGGTGGCTGATCATTTGTCAGGAGAGACAGAAGATTGTGTGGTCAAGTTTTGTGCTTGATGGGAGCTGCTGCACATCTTGTGACTCTGAACTGATTAAACGTTATTCAAATGAATGAGGGAGCTGCAGTACTAATGTTAACCTGAACGCGGCCCTAGGATAAAGGGTGTTGTATCTTGTAGTATTGTAAAACCTTCTGAAGGCAAATAAGTTTTTTGGTTTTTTTTTGGGTTTTTTTAAGAGCTGCCCAGTGCAACCACAGTTTAGTGCTTCACTGGATCAATGATGGGTTTCAGTTGCGTCAGCCGCGCAGAGTGATTTTCAACCTTCCATGGTAAATGTTTCCAGACAATCTGGGGAAACAAACTTGTGTCTTTTCTTATCACAAGCCCTCTAATCTAACCGCTGCTGACCCCAGTGATTTAGAAGAGCACGGTGTCTTTGCCCGGCGGTTGGATCCTTAATGTCTGACCCGTGTTAAGCGGTCTGCATGTGAAGCACTGAGGCTCCATAGCGCACCTTATCATCAGCCACATCTAAACCCACTTAGACGCTTTGAAGCTTGAGCCAGGGGATTTCCCATGTTTTTGATGAGCCGACAGACGGTAACCTCCTTTCGCCCGCACCGACTAAAAATCTACACCCCCGTATACCTCACATCTCTTCTTCTTCAGGTCCAACAGATGTTGGTAATCCTACTCTGATTGGCTCAGATTGAGCTGTGTAGTTCTGTGGTCAGGGCATGCAGCCCACGCGGCTGAACCCTTGTCAGTTGCCTTTGAGCCGTGCCCTGCGGTGGGCTGCGTGCTGGAATGGCGTACCGCCGGGTTATGTTTCATTCAACCCCACACCTGCTGCACTGACTTGTCAGCGTGCTCCTCGACAGGCCCCCTTAATGCCTCCATTAGGTGTTGTAATCTCCACCTAACGCCCTGCCATTTTGCCTGAGTGTGTTAACAGAGTATCAAAGGCCAGGGAGTTTGTTTTTGCCACCTGCCAGCGTTGAGTGTGTAGGAAGGTGAAACAAAGGTGGCGGTAGCGTGACTGCACAGCTCTAGCTGGTTTTCGAGACGTTTCGGTAGTTTGACTTTGTTCAAGTTTTTCTGTCAGTTCACTCAGTTCTGCCGTGTGTGTGTGTGTGTGTGTGTGTGTGTGTGTGTGTGTGTGTGTG